CTGTATTTCAGTTCTGTGATTGGATATTAAAAAAACTAATACACTTGGCAACACCGCTATAGACTCGACCAATTTTATTGGTCAACAGACACGCGGCCAATTTAAACTCTTGCTTCTCGAATTGTTCTTTTTTCTGCAAATGTAAAGAGATTTTGGGACCGATTATGCTTGATAAGTATAATATACCCCTAACTCGATCAGTCTATAAGCAAACCAGGATCATATTTAATAGCATGAAACTAGCCCATTAGTTTCTGTTCACATTATTCGACACACAAAATATTTCAATTTATTTCATTTTGAACTAAGTTCAATGTAGTTCAGTTGATGGCATAGAAAGCAGTTGTGCCTGAAATTTCAAGTATAATAAGTGTTTTGTTAAAAGAAGAACTATAAGCAATTCTCGTCCATGTATGTAAAAATCGTAAAGACTTATTTAAACTTGAAACAAATTGACAGACACTAAAAATTTGATCGACCCTATTGAAAAAAAGGTTCTCACTAGTTTTTTTTTCAACTTTTGTTGATCTACTGAAATCGTCCAACTGAACTCAACTCATGAGAAGGGGCCTAAATGCCACAACGAATAAGTGTATGTGAGATATCATCGTAATTTTTCATTTGTTTGAAAGACCTATTGATGCCACTATGTGTGGAATATAACATCTGGGTGGAGCCGCAATATTTTCTTCGGTCCTCACTCTACGTATGCGTGTTCGTCGTTTAATGTCTGATAATGTAAACTGGGTTCGAAATTTAGTCACAAGCTTCCGAATAGCTCCCTCAGTAGGCCGACGAAACTGCCCATAAATTGGAATAAGTGCACGATGCACTTTCTTCACCGAGCATGAATTTTGATAATAAAATTCAATAATTTGCAAGCGTTGTTCATTCGTAAATCGATTCATGGTTAATTATAGACCAAACTGAACAAGTTTGACAATACCACAAGACACGATTCACGTGTGATCTGTCAAAAACAGTGTTGCCAAAAGATACCAGCAAAAAAATTACTCATTGTATATGGTGTAATTCTATTCTAGGCTGGTAATATGATAAATAATGAATTGAAATCTTCTCAGTTCTACGTCATGTCTAAGATAAGAATATGTGGCTAGTAGTTGATGATACTTTTCTGTCGATCAACTCTTTTGTTCGATGAGTTATAGGTTCTAGTCATTTCATTTCTAAGGGGATATAGCACTCTGCTTCGGTGTAGATTTTATTATAGTTGGGTTTTAGAAATCAGTAGATTCGATATAATCACTCGAAAAAATTCAAATATTGTTGACAATCAGACACAATTGATGAATGTAGAAACGCCAGGAAGTAGGTTCACACTACGTCATTATGTTGAGTAAGATGTTACATTTGTAAGTTGGCTGGTTTTTTGAATCATACATAATCTGAAAAAAAAAGGAAATTGTTGAAATCACTTTAACTAGTCTAGTAATTTTCTGTCTCAAGAAATATTGATGAGATTCAAAATAGAGATTATATTTCATGAGCAGAAGAAAATTACAAAACAAAGGACTTCATACCATCCTTATGGATATCCTGGAACTTGGACAATAAGGATGATGTGCGGTCAGTTCTCAGTGGCAAAAAATAAATGTTGTGTGTACCTATATAGGCCAACTTTTCAACCAAATATTTAAAAAGCAATAATGGTGAATAAATTTGAATATATTTTGCGAATTATGTGTACCCGAACGTACAGTTATTTATATAGCAATTAAACAAAATAGCTTTAAAATGTATGTTATATTTTTTATTTGTACAATATAAAAAGATTCTTTTTGGAGATTGTGTTTTATTTACCAATGATTCATACAAGAAAAAACTGTTCTTTCTGCATTATTGAACAAGAAATATTTATACATACTTTGTAGTGTTGATGTGAGAATTCATAAGAGAATTCTTTTCAGTCCTTAACTGATAGGGGGCTGAATTGGCAAAGGCAATGAATGGAACAAATATTTGAAACCTTGATAATGCGAATATCAGGTAAATGTTCGGAGAAAAATGTCGATATTTTCATATCTCAATATTTTATACAAACTGTTATTTTTGAAGATGTAGGAACACGTGCATAGATGGGAATGTGTAGAACTCTTTCCTCTGATTTGTGCTTCAAACTATCGCGTCTAGATGGCGAAATAATCTTGATTTCCCTTTAAAATTTGAATCTAAAAAGGAATTGGTTTCATTACCATTCTTTATTGAAAATATTTTAATGCATTATAATGAATGCGATTTACTTCTATCAGTTCAAAGAATAAATGACATGATTATTGAAAATGTAATTGTTTTATATGGACAATCAACAATGGAATTATTTTGAAATTCAAATTAGGCTGTTTCATGAAAAGTAGTACGAACATCAGGGTTGCCAGCGTGAAAAATTTTGCTCCAAGTGTCACGAAATTGAGCTTAATAAAACAACTTTGAATTGAAAGGGATATATTTTTAGGAGATATTATTCTTTGGGGCACCATCGATTCCCGTTTATACTTCTCCTTTCAATTTAAACAAGATTCCTATTGCTGAGACTGATATGAATAAACTTATTAATGTCATTACGTACAGTCATCGAGACGAGTAGATTTAACTCATCCGTGACATAAAGTCATAATATTATGAACGAATTGAGTGCTTCATTTTGCAATGTTATCCATATTGGTGCTGATAGGCAATAAGATAAATTTCTCACTCGGAAACTTGGAAGTCCACCACTGAGGATGACAGTGTTCCATGTAAGTGAAATTTTACATCGTAATTATTTCATATATTATATTGTATTGGGTTCCTCCTATGAATGATATCAGATTCAGTTCCATAACGAGTGTTTGAAGTACAAAGTGAATGTATAAGTACAAGTACAAGTGTAATTCGATGTTTATATCGAAACAGTTCATTCGGAAGGGCTATTTCTTCCAGTTTGTTTCTAAAAGTAACTTCCATGCATGATCAACTTTGACGAGTTCCCGCTGATGATCAGGTAAAGGACAGCTCATTGCTAGAGAGTAGCCGAAATAAATAGTTTTACCTATCCTCGAAGAACCACCAGAATCTGAACCACAAAAGCATTGTAACCGAACATAAACACCCAACAGCAAAGACATATTAACCACCAAACTAGATTGAGCTACACATGAAAACAATTATCCAATTATAGGTACAACTTCCCAACATTAAGAGAAAAATATATGCGATCGATCTACACATCTTTGTAAGCAGAGAGTTTATTTTTGAATTGATCGACTTTTTGTGTGAAGCTGGAGAAGTAGAAAGTAAAAACAGTTCTTTCCAACCAATGCACATTTCAATTGAATCTATGTTTTTGAGTCAGTTTTAGAAAGATTAAGAATGAATATGTTCTGGGAGATAGAAAACATTCAATCAAATTTTGGCTCAGGAATGCATTCGATAGGAACGGAGGAAGAGAAAGATGAAGACACTATCAAACAGAGAAGTTCACACTGGACATGATGATGATTATGAAGTCATACCCTAATGAAATATATCAAATTGTTGATCTAGGAAATACCAAAAGTGAAAAAAATATTTAGAGGCGTGCCACAGGGGTCAATATTGGGGCCACTTCTGTTCATAATGTATATCAACGACCTGCCTCACGTGATGAACTCGTCAGACGTAGAAACTATATTGTATGCAGATGTTGCAACCTTGGGCAAAAAAATATATAAAACAGATGATCCTCATACGATCCATACTGACATAATGGAAAAAGCTCGATGATGGTTCACACCAAATGACTTGATTCTCAATGAACAAAAAACAGAAACTCTTAAGTTTTGAAACAATTTGCTTAAATCGAGATAACAAAAATTCTACCAAATTTTTGGGAGTACAAATAGATCCCAAACTGAAATGGATAGACCATATAAATAGCATGTGTAGTAAAACTTAGTAAGACAGTTTTTTCTATCAGAAAAATTAAAAAAAGTAAACTAAAGTGCGGCACTTGCAACATATCATTCACCTTTTCATTCAGTCCTTAGGTATGATATAATCAATTGAAATAATGCATCAAAGGTACATCTTAATAGAATATTTGTCATTCAAAAATCTGCAATAAGAAGCATAACCTCTGCCAATTATGATGAAAAGTGTCGACCAATATTTGTAAAACTTAAATAATGATCCTATATTCAGTTATTGTCTATGAAAATCTGCTTCTTGTTCAACAAAACTTGATGAATAAAGTTGCTCACAAGGATATACACCAACATGATACAAAAAATAAATTTTTGGGAAAGAAAGTTCAAAAAAAATAAAGCAAACCTTGTTCCTACAGCTAATAGGTTGAAAAGAACAGATAATATAGGAATTAAGTTATACAATGCCCTATCTGTCGAATTTCGTAACTTGCCTTTTGGAAGATTCAAAAACTTATTGAAGAAAATATTAGCCAAATATCCTTTATATGACATTGATCAATTTTTAGAAGTTATTCAAGAAGAAAGAGACACTTTTGTGGTCACCTCCTGAGCTTTTACTCAACTTTGAATAAGTAGGTATATATAATATGTTAGCTATGTGATTTATAATTTGTAAAAGCTCATGGCTTTACTTTTTGGTCAATTTTTATAAGATTGGAATTTTATCTTGTTAACTTGTATTTTTTTGTAAATCTAATTTATCTACAAGCATTTTTTAGAAACTATATTGACGTGTCTAAAAACTGTGTGTTTCTTGAGACTGATAATTATTATTATTATTGTTATTATTGCTGGTTTTATCTTTCACTCGTTTTCATTGAACAGAATGTACATTTGATTTTTGCATCATTAAATATTCTAGCAATTACAGATGTGAGATTGTGACTTAAACCATTCATTTTGAAAATACATTCTGTAACACCAAATAACTTCATTTTATTGGAGCAAATGGGAACGAACAAAATCTGGCAACGCCGCATTATCGCGAAGCGGTCTTTTACCCGAATACTTTCCATCAGTTTTCCTCGAGGCGCGCCGGAAAACGGAAGCTTTCCACGCCTGTCGCTCCCGCCATGTGAGAGAAACATCGGAAAAGTCGAAAATGTCAGCGACGGAAGTCAAAGATCCCCCTTCAAGGAACCGCTTCACGAAACTCCCGATCCATCAGCTGAACCCGAGTTATACAGTGCGAGTCATTTGTTGCGTGTTCTTCATTTTCCTCACAGAAATTTTCTTGGCGCACTACATATACAGGTTGATCAATTCCGAGGTTCGTGAAGACTACGTCGCCAAAACTGGCTTCAAGCAGCTGTTCTTGAACGAAATCAGGAGCGACAATTTCCGCGATGAAATAAAGAAACTTATCAAGGAGTTTGAAGGTGCCAAATCGAATCACTCGAGAGAGAAACGAAGTGTAAAACACGGTATAGAGTATAATTTTCTGAGCGCTGAGGCCGAAGAACCGCAAGTGGAGTTTTTCAATCCAAAGATTAGGGGCAATTTGGAGGAGAAGGACGAGGAGATTATAAGGAAGACCGGGAGTAAAGGAGCTGCTCCAGGTGGGGACTCATGGATTTGGGTGACCAGTTCTAGTAGGATACCGGTGAGTTCTCTTCTGGTAATTTTACTTTTCAAACATGCGCCAAACTAACTGACTGTTATGAGGAAACAAGTATAGCTGAGGTACCAGTCAATCTAATAATAACACTGACGGAAGCTCTGACGGAAGCACCAAACTCTTACGAAGGTTCGAAATAGATGAACACTTCAATCTAGCAGACCACTGTTATATCTGTATCTGTATCTGTAGAGTAGGGAGGGTGAGTGTAAGCCCACAGCACTTAGGCCACATGTGACCCATTGTACATCCTCCCGAGGAGTTGCCTTTCTAGGTCATCATCCATCCTGTCCTTTCCAGGAACGTGGACAGGTCACTAGGAGAAATCTCCTTTATATTGGCAAGTGTAGGTCAAGACTCGCTGAAAACACACTCTCTTTGGCAACCTTCAGGTGTCTCACGGTGGCCTCCGTGAAGGTTTTGGAAGGAGCAGCGACATTACTGTCATTGCGCGGCTTCTTCAACCTTCTTGGGGTTCCCTCCGTGGCGGTGCGCAAGTGAGGGAGCTTTCCTGCAGGTCCAGCCGGTTCCTTGCCTTTATTCAAGGCGGAGCTCTTGGCGCCCGCCGCCGGAAGTGCCTTGGCCTTTGTATTACATCACGTGGTGATCTGCTATGTCCAGCCTCGTTCCAAGCGGTAGATTGGGGGGACATTTCTGTTCATCCCCAGCCACCGCCTTAGATTGAGGTGAGGAGCACTTGTGTCCAGCCTCGTGATTGGTTTTTGTTGTTCCTATTTTTGTGTTTGTTTCATTGATGTGTGTTCCCACGAGTAGCAAGGGAAGAGTTGGTCACCACTGGCAGAGCCCCGCATTACCAGAGGTAGGCTGATTACAATGAGGTGTCGCCCAGTTCCCCAAGGGGATCGTTCGTAACCACATAGCACCCTGCGGCCATTAGCTTGGGTAGGCTGGTCCACGGTGGCATGTTTTGCATGTTTTGGTGAGTTTTAGTTCCCCCCACCCTACTTATTTCTGCCACTGACCAGGAGTCCGGCAACCCCGTCCGTAAGGCCACATTGGCTTCCCGGACAGGGCCTCCAGTCCCCTGGCCGTTCCCCTATCCGCCACCTGGGGACGCGCCCGATAGGTAGCCCAACCCACGGGAGACCACTATTATAATATTCATGCAGTCATTGTACACTGTGGTTCTGGCGTTGAATCTGTTCATTATTACGCCTTGGTCAAAGACGAAGTTTGACGATAGTCGTGTCATTAAGTGTTCTGACGATGCCGTGAATATAGTGGAGCCTCTGGAAATACTCATGAGAGAGAGTACATTGGAAGATTAAGATCTTCAGATGATGTGGTCCTGCTGATTTTTCCAGGCTTTCCTGCAGCTGAAAAAGCAAATGCGCCATTGGAATCAATGAAGTTGCCCCGGAGCGCCAATTAATTTTTGTTGTTGTTTCATAAATTCATGATTTGTAATGAAAAGTTATTAACAAAATAGATTGTTAACGAGAAAATAATTTGGATTGAAACTCTCGAAGCATTCAAATTGAAAAAGAGCTGCTGAGATTTTGAACAAAGTTCCTCCAAACCTTAATTTTCTCATATATCGTCTCAGTTTTCATAATGATAATTATTATACTTGCCGTGTTATATAACTGAGTGTACCTTTAGGTTGTTTCAACACTCGTAGTGTATACTGATCTGTAGAGAATTTTGTACCCTATTGCTTACTGTATTTTTTTTCTTGGTGTCATCGGCATCGACTACATCGGTCATTAGCCTCGTGTCCTGGGTAGGCAATGTTAATAACTTCCCGAGCCACCTAGGGAGCATCATGGCTATTCGCAGTCCGTCAGCCATGTAACGTTGCAGAATCATCAACTTCAACTAGATAAATTCTCTCGAGAAAAATATCTGCTCTAGGTTGAGATCGAACTCACGATTGTCCAGTCGCGAGTCCGGCGCACAATCACTGCACCAATTCACCGTTACTTACTGTACTATTACAGCACTGCCGAAACAACCCGAATAATTAACCAGGAATTTGGTTAATATAGTGTTATTGAACGCACTGTTCAACGTAATTTTAGCCTTGACCTGGTCCTCAAATCTAAGACGAGGATATGACGACCCATCACAAATATTGCGTGGGATGGCAAAAGTACTGGGCGTCTGCTCCCATGGAGTTTTTGAAAAATCACTAGAAAAGGTCGGTGAAATATTAAAAAAAAATCATTTCACTGAATCCAGTTGTGTTACACGCCCACTTGTTTGCGCAACGCCCTTTAGGAACATTGGGATAATCTGAAATTCACCAAACTGTGCATAATTCCAAACCATGTAGGTGAGAAATATGTCTTGATTTGGCAAAAGCCTTCGTTATCATCAACCATAAACCCCCCTGAGAAAAAAAACAATAAAATATAGTTGACATTTCGAAACCTCTTGAAAGTTATCTGATCAGTGTCAAAACCGTAACCTGTGGTGTGCTTCAAGGAACGGTCTTGGGGCCCATATTATTCATTATATACCTGAATGATTCACTAAGAATAGACGACGAAGACGTCATCTTTTGTGAAGTAAATGAATATGAAAACGTGAGATTATCTGCAATAACAGACCTGAATTCTTCTTCAGGATAGTGCTAAGATCGAAAATGAACCAGTTTTGACCTACAGCAACTGAAATATAAAGCTTTCACGCGTTAAACAGTTACGACCAGTCTATATTCGATTCATTAATGTAGATATTTGAACATTTTACGATTGGAAATCCGAATTTGTGGTCTGATTATCAGTATCGTGAATCATAGTAGGTCATAGGTCTACCAAAAAGGCCAAGGATGTCCGAAAATAGCTCAATTTTGAGTAAACCTAAACGATTTGAACTTGTAACGAGGGCTTTTGAAACCATCGATTGCAGATGTAACGCCAGATTATCGATATGGTGACCCATAGTAGATCCATGTTGTGTCCATGTCCTGTTTATGTTCTATTCATGTTTTGTCCATTTCCTGTTTATGTTCTATCCATGTCCTGTCAATATCACATCCGTGTCCTGTCCATGTGTCTATGTCCTGCTCATGTCTCATGTCTATGTCTATATCCAGTCTACATCCTGCCCACGTTCCTGTCTAGTCTATGTCTTGACTATGTCCCGTCCATGTCCTGCTCATGTTCTGTCAATGTCCCGCCCATGTCAATATCCCGTCCATGTCTTGTCAGTGCCCCGTGAAAGTCCTGCTCATGTTGTGTGAAAGTCCGCCTTATGTCCTGTCAATATCCCGCCCATGCCCTGTCCATATATTGTCAATGTCCTGCGCATGTCTTGTCAATGTCCCATCCATGTCCTTCATCCATCCATCTATCCATGTCGGTTCATTTTGAACTTTGCACACATTGAAATATTTTTATTATTCATCAAAAAGAAACTTTTCACGAAGTATCAGAAAATTTGACGTGTACAAAAAAACTCAGGTATTTTTTGCGTGTTTCTCACGACAACTACACTGCAAAATCCTTCTATCCCGTTCTCGTTTTCGTTCATCTACGACTGAGAAATATAATGCCCAAAATACTCAAAACAAGTCTACTCAAGAACTCTGTTCGAATAAAGGCTGAAAGCTTGGATAATGTTCAGTCACATTTTGTTTCATAACTCTGTTGAATTATATGCCCATATTGAAGGACAAGCCATAGTGAGCAGAGCGATGACATCTCTCCTTACGGAAACGCCATCTATAGGATGGGCAGTAAATTCAATCCGCGAATTTCAAAGCTTGGCTGTGAAACAGCGCCATAAGGTGTTGATGATGTTGGAAAAAGGTTTTTCAATAGATGAAACTAATACATTATCGGTGAAACAGTCTGCAAATGTTGTGAAATAACCTCTTGATACATATTGAGGCATATCGTTAACGTTTAATAAAAAGGGTAAGGGTTCGATGACTGATCCTTGTGGTGCCCAAGTCTTATATCGTGAGGTTTAGACAGTGCATTGTTACGATAGCTTTGGTGTGAAATCTAGCTGAGCCACATCTCTTGCATTTTTCATACCACGTCCCGAGAACATAAAATCTCAATTCCGACACTCTGACTCGTTTAATAATGGATTTCAGTGTACGGACACTTTATCCGGAGAGGCGATTTTCTCAGCAAGCTTTGAAACATTCATAAACTAAGATTCTTGCAAAGCTTGCGGCCCTTCGAACACAAAGAGAGCTTTTAATGTTTCATTGATGGCGACGCTCCTTTAAGGAAGCCATCTTTTCCACTTAACTCACATATTTCGCGTCGTTTTCGTTTTTTAAAATGCTCTCGATGTGTTTGTGAATATTAAAGGGCGTAACTGAGCCCGGGATATGGAGCCACAGTCAGTTTAATTTCAGTTTCACCATACACGGGATTCCCTTTCATTATATTTTTCTGGATTATCTCTGCCTGGATGGGAAGATTGCAAAAGTGTGATATTTGGAATTTATTTCAATGCTGTGAACGCTGTTTCAACGGAATGACGATGAGCAAGAGCTTTTTTGATTCTGATTTTTAGTCCAATTGGATCTGAGGTGATATTTGTGAAAATCCTGAACACAATGAGAACGTTTGAACATGTGGATACATGATACCGAGGCGTTTAGAGAGTCGAAATGAATATCGCAATGTTCACAGATTTTATTGAAGCTACTGCACATAAAATTCAATGGTGATCGTAGCATAACATTTGTGCGTGATGCTTCGCAATAGAATTTCAGATTTTGTTGACCTTCACTTCTTGGTACTAAGAAATTGATCCCGAGTAAAAGAACCGTACTGTCAATATTGTTGTTTAGTAATTTATGCAGGAATTTCATACCAAGGATAACTCTCCTATTTTCCAAAGATGTCATATCAAATCGTGTCAACAAAATGTTATGATCGATGCCTCTCGTGGGGTATTGACCATCAACTTTTAGACATAAGTATTTTAGAAACTTCCTTTGCACGCTCTCAATTGATGTTTTTTGGTAGTAGTAAACTGAATTCCATAACACAGAG